ATAGGTTGCTCTGGAAGTAATTTTGTTTAGGATAAACGTCAGTATTAGCTATGCATTTTTCCATTAGGGAATTTAGAATGAAGCTGGCAATCAAAAATAGTCCTTAAAGCTAAGCACGGAGTTTTACTGCATGGACAGAAAGTCAGCATGCAACAAGCTTTTCGTCAGAAGTGTGCTCAGGCTGCAGCCAGAGAGCGCAGAAGCAGACTCAGACTCTACAGGTGATTTCTGAACTGAAATCACTGTTGTGAGTAAATTACTGTTTAAATTGTGAGTAAATCACAATTACTGTTGTGAGTAAACTATTGGAAGTTCAGTCAGGATGAACAGATCCCAGCAAGACCAGGTTTTGGGGGATGTGCACAGGGCTATGCAGAGTTCAGGAACTCTGTTAGAGTTCAACTTGTAGCAGTTTGTCTTGCAGTGACCTCTTGTTTCCAGAGAGCTGGAGGTCATACTTTACACATGTGAATGCTTTGGTGAATTTTTCCTTTACAGTTTGACTCTTCAGAGGGAAGAGAAGAAGGCTTCCTGCAATGCTTCAGTCTGGGTTTTGGTTAGGTTTAGATTAGCACAGTAGCAGAGTGGATGTACACTACTGCCTGTGTTTGTGGCCAGAAATGTGTTCTGGGCATTCAGAGCTTTCTGTTCTCCTTTGAGAGCATGAGATGTTCAATTATTGTTGGTGGATCTTTGAAATCCTTTTTTAATGATACAGTTATCTATTCTTTAAGTTTCTTTTATTCATAATCTTCTGTATTGGAAGGAAAGTAGGCTCAGTCACACTTCAAGAATTCCCCTGTGTACCATCTCTTGTAACTAACCTGGATCCTTTGTTCTAAGACACATTTGTGGGCTTTCTGCAACTTAAATTAGTGTGTAATAAACTAATGATCAACTACTGTGGGGCACATAGTATCTCTGCTGCTTTTGCATGCCCTTGAAAACTATTAGAAAAGAGCTGGTGTTTTACAGCATGCAGCTAGGGGCCAGTACCAGCTCACGTTTGCATTTTGCCTGACAAGCATATTTCTCAGCAGCGCCCTAAAGCAATAGCAGCTCATCTATATTGTGCACTATTTGCATACTCTAACAAGATGGGCTATAATTGGCCTTCATTGATTTTGTTTTCATTGAGCTAAAATAGAGTCAGAGCTTCTTAGGCAAGAAGAGCTGATTGATTTGTGGTAGGATTCAAGACTATTCAGTTGAAGAAATAATTAATTATGTTCTTATTTAGTAATTGTCAGGGTTTAAGTTTGCTCTTACCATTCAAGATAGTCCTGCTGAATTTTATCTCTAGGCTGAATCACACTTAAAAGCTGGGATAAAATGCCAGCACACATAAGGTACTTCACAAGAAACAATACTTATTTCCTTCTCTACTCCTTCATTACCACCTTCTATCCCTGCACATCCTCCCCACTTACCCATATGCATACAGTTCTTCTTTCCTCATGTTAATTGATCAGCTCTGTTCCTGGCAGTTTTCTTTTAGAACAGTTCCAGGAAAGCACCTTTTTAACCAGAAGCTGGAAAACATAAGGAATGTAATTGCTTTCTTTGGAAAAAGTGAACGGTCGCATGCTGTTAGGATTCTTTTTTTTCTAATTTTGAGACAAACATTTGCCCCAGTGAAATGCTCCCTCATGCTGAGTGTGGATGTGGAACAAATAGGCTTAGCTCAGGCATGGGGATTGTTGATTATATGCTGTTATACACTTGTGAAACTGATACTGGATGAGAATGAGAGTGAGTTGTAGTTTTGCTGAAATGGGCATGGTAGATTATTTTTGTTGTTGTTTTTTTTTTGTTTTTACCTTGTGGCTTTCTTACAAACTATCTATTAATTAAAACTTAGCAGTGTGCCTCTGGGCAGACAGTGCTGTGTGGCAGAGGCAGGTTTTATGAGCTATTGCTTTAGAGTTGAATGTTAGGCTGCAGTGGCTATGTACAGCAAAGTTAGCAATGGCAGATATGTAACTTAGATGATAATTAGTATATCTTCTCTTCTTATCTTTTCCTAGCAGCGTAGTATGGTGGCAATATTTCTTCTTTTAAAGTGGTGAATCTTACTGCAAATATGGCATTAAACTGTAATGAATTGAATCCAAGCCCTTTCTGTTCTACTGCCAGGAAAGCAGAGCTCAGCAAATGCCTTTCACCAAGCTGGTAAATGACAAAGAAACTTCCTGGGCAAACAACAACCGAATGTAAGAGATTGGGCTTTGTAAAAAATTAGTTCTTAAATAGAAGGCTTATCCACCAGCTTCACTGGATGCAGGGAGCCTCAATGAGTGCACTGGACTCAGTTGCCAATAGTAAGTAGGACACAACCTCAGAGTGGCTTCGAGTCCTTCAGAAAATGCGAGTTGTAAGAATGGGAAAACCAAGACAGAAGAGTGCTGGGAAAATGATAGCTCTGCTTTTTGCTGAGGAGGAGCAAAGTCTAATTGCAGTAGGCTGGCTCCTGCCCCCTCACCACTTGCTGTACTGGAAGAGATGCAGCACCGCTGCAACTTTTGCTGCCTCTGGCACACCTGGGCAGGATTGCTGTTCGTACCAGGCAGTGCCTCCTCAGCTTG